CGGTACTACTACAGTTGCTTCTGTTGGTACTACTACAGTTGCTTCTGGTGGTACTACTACCACTGTTACTTCCGGCGGTACTACTACCACTGTTACCTCCGGTGGTACTACTACCACTGTTACTTCCGGTGATAATACTACTACTGTTACTTATCGTGGTGCTAGTGGTATACTGCTGGTGTTACTACTGGTGTTCTCAATCAAGTAAGTTATTAAGAGTCCTTCTCACAAATTAACTTTTTTATTTTTCATTCGTGTTCAATCAAAATGCCCGAAAATGTTAGTCTTGACTACAATAGATTTTGGTTAAAATATCTCGCCAAATCTGCAAGACTTTCATGAGTTATAGTCATTCATCGGCCAAATTTATTCTTTACGCGGGCAAGGTTTTCAAAATGACGGTACGAACTAAGCATGTAGGGATGGCTTTTAAATTGTAGAGTACACTAAGTAGTAGTAAGTCCTAACAGAGCTCGATTTTTTAATTTCTCTTTGTTTGCTTTTTAAAAAACTTTTCTTCGAAAAATTCTCAAAGTCATGATCAAAAAATCTATGATTAAAATCAAAGATTAGTTATTTTGATTTCTGCAAAAAAGAAATTCAAAAATCAGGCTTTATTACAGTCTAGCCCTAACTATCTGTTGTATAATTAAAAAATTGATCACTTTTATATTGAGTCATTATTAAAGAAAGATTTGCCAGCATCAACGGTATACTGGCAAAGCTGAATTTGAGAACAGCGAAAAACAATGTTTTAGCTCATATTCCTCAATTAGGGAACCTTGTGAAAAATCTGATGAGAAAAAAGCAATCTTCTTGTTTTGACGAAAATAATTATGCTAGCTTACAATTAGACTTCTGCGTGACCATGATTTTTTGGTCACGTCACGTCACGGTCACGGACACGATCACGATAATACCTATCGAGAAGATTGGTTATTTTCTTGCCCATGTAAAATTTTTGACCCAAAAAAAGTTACTATTAAGTACTTTCAATAGTAGATTTTAAACAAGAAAAGTACTTATAAGTGAACCTTTTTATGTACTTAATAGTAGTTTTTGACTGAAGAGTACTATTAAGTACTACTGACAGTGTGAAAAAGTACTAAAGTTTACTATAACAAAAGTGAAAAAAAGTAAAAAGAATTAATCTATTTTCCTGTGTTAGTATTAAAAGTACTTAATAATTGTTTCCTAAATAGAAAAAAAACTATTAAGTACTTTTAATATTAATACAGGAAAGTAAATTAATTTCTTTTTTACTTTTATTCACTTTCGTTAGTGAATTTTAGTACCTTTTCACACTGTCAGTAGTACTTGATAGTACTTTCTTGTCAAAAACTACTATTGAAAGTACTTAATATTTTTTTCAAGGAGGAAACAGCGGACTTCAAGACTTCAAGACCTCAAAAGACTTCAACAGACTTCAACAGACTTCAGCCGCAGTGACTTCATATTTTCACAAGACTTCAAAAGACTTCAAAAGACTTCTGAAGTCTTCATAGGACTTCAAATGACTTCGCAAGACTTCATAAGACTTCGTATGGCTTCATGGGACTTCATGGGACTTCAAAAGACTTCCAACGACTTCGTTAGACTTCACAGACTTCGTGAGACTTCACGGACTTCATGAGACTTCACGGACTTCATGAGACTTTGTAGGACTTACTGAGACTTCAGAGACTTTGTGGGACTTCCTGAGACTTTATAAGACTTCATCAGACTTCACAAGACTTCACAAGACTTCATAAGACTTCATAAGACTTCATAAAACTTCGCAAGACTTCACAAAACTTCACAAGACTTCACAAGACTTCACCAGACTTCACAAGACTTCACAGGACTTCAAGAGGCAGATTCCATGCGTATCAAAAGAAACCTTATAGAAATTACATGAAACCTCTATAACATGCAAAAAACAAAACTTATCAAATAGTAGGGGTCTCATTTACCGTTTACTGTATAATAAATATAAATTATTTATCATTTAATTTACGCGTAAATTAAATGAAAAGTAAATATAAATTGGCACCCTTATTCATAACAGAGTAACTAGTGTCTTCTGAGAACCACGAACAGGAATGATATTGAAAATTGATTGCTCTCAAAAGTCTGTTTTGTGGAACTCACGTATATTTTCTTCGAAAATAGTGAGTGTAGTTTTCAGTTCGATGTTTGGCGGCTCCCCCCTCCTCTCACCCCATTACAGACACTTAGCAACGGAGAAACAGAACATTACGGACATACGCCCCCCCC